AGCTGGTCCTGGCGGTGGGCTTTTTTTGGGTTGTTTATCCAGCTCAAAATGGGCTCGCCCGGCTTTGGAAATGGCCCCACGCTACAGGCTGGGCCCCTGGCTGCCATCTGACCTGACCCTCTGCTCGGGGTTGCCTGGCACTGCGGAGGCTGCGGCTTGAAGAGGGCCCTCGGGTGCTCTTCTCCTGGTTTGAAGTGATGGAGGTGTGGCCAAGCCGTAAAGGAAGGAAGCAAGCGCTGCTCAAGAGAAAAGCCTATGCATTCCAGGGGCTGCGACGCCTCAGAGCTGGCAGGACCCCCACTCGTGGTGGACTCCCCTCTCCCGAGGCTCCATGTTCTAGACAATCCTAGGAGAGCCCCCCTTTGTGGGTAGGCTTAGCTAAGGTTACTTTCGACTACTGCGTCCCCTGGACTCTTCAATTCTGCTGGAGACCTTACAATCCTTTGACCCATTCCTTAGGGTTCGGCCCTCTCATTGCAACCAGTCCACATTGGGAACGTGCCCATCTCGCCCATCTGACCTCCAAAATAACCGGGGTCCACGAGAGAGCCCTGGCTGCACACTGGTTACCACTTGGCTATGAACTTCAAGGTCAGCGGTTCAAAATCACAAGCCACTCCTCAGGAGAGGCTTTCTACTCCCATCAAGAGTGGACAGTCCCTGAAACCCACAGGGGCTGTTCTCGGCGGTCCTGGAGGAGAGTCAGGACGGACTCCATGGCAGGGAGTTTGCGCCTCCATTCTTGCCCCAGCGTCCAGCTCGGGCTTATCCGTGCTCCTCATGTGAGTCCAATCATACTCTGTCTCTGCCTCCAGCCCAGAGGCTCGGTCCTATGACCCCAACCATGTGAAAGGCCCTTCTCATTCTGTGGAGGGACCACTCCGGTACACCCTCCTGCTGGCAGTGCCCGGGCCGCCCAGTCTATCCCGACGTCCTCTAGCCCTGAGTCATGCGTGAGAACCAGCCTGACCCAAAGGCCCGCGCCCCCCACTCGCCCCACCTTGCTTCCTCCATGATGGGGACATTGCAGTTCCCTCTGCCTGTCGGTCTTGGGGAGATCTTGTTTGAAGACTTAGCTCAGGCCCTTTCCCGTGTCCTCAGGGAAGCCCCTCCCTCCACCCTTTGAGACCAGGCATGTCCCCAGGTTTTAAGTTCATGCTCCCTGCTGGACTGTATGGCAGGGGCCGAATCTGAATCCTGGCACCCTGGGGCTCCTCGGGAAGTGTCTTGGATGTTAGGCCATCGACTCTTTATCAAGCAGGAAAGGGTCTGGGAAGGGCCGCCCCCCGGGGAACGGAGTGCCAGAGCCACAACGGTTCCTCCTGCCCCTGCTCACCATCCCGTCGAGGCCCCAAAGCACCAGCTTCCCTTCCAGGGAAGGGCACGGCTGAGGGGCCCGAGTGTCTTCATGAACCAGGTCACCGAGATACAGAACACGTGCAGGAACCTGGTGTTTGCCCAGCTTGAGCATGTAGTGGTATGGTGGGGAAGTGTTTGGTGGCTCACGGAAAGATCAAGTAATTGGCCTGCACCAACCAGCTGCTCCGTGGGAGGAAGGTGTGGCAGTTTGCTTCCCTAAAGGTCACAGCCTTGGAAACCAGGGGCAGGGGGCAGTTTTATCTGCCCTGTGGGGCCACCATGGATCACCTTGACAGTGATAAGTATGTCCATCTACAGTGACTTTTCACTACAACCTATGAGGTAGGTGGCAGTCATTAATGCTAGTGGGTCACAAGGCTTGAAGGAGATCACGCAGCCAGTAAGAGATAGGTCTTCCCCAGAAGGTCCAACCTCACTTTCCCTCCTTCTCACTGCTCGGAGCCCTATGGCCTCCCCAGTGGCAGTGGGTGTTACACAAGGAGCCAGGCTGCTGGAGGAGAGGAGAGTACGGTTGTCAGCAGAGACCTGTCCCTGGACGAGGGCCGCATGCTCAGTAAGGCAGAGGGACAGGAAAAAGAGGACCCACGGCAAGGTTGGACCCAGTGGCCGCAACAACAGTGTCCTCAAGCATAAAAGCAATTGTGAGGATACAGTTGTCACAGGATGATGTTTTGTTCTGTAGCACAGAGTCGCTATGAGTTAGAACCAACACCTAGACGGCACCTAACAACAGCAACAAGAGTCGCCCATTTCCAAAGCCTACAAGTTTTGCCTCCCATTCTTATTGCTGCACATACGGGCATTCACTAACAGCCTTGGGAGGTTAATCGTCAGTACAGAACGACTGACCCCAGTTCCCGAATCGATACTGTCCCCAAACACTTTGATTTACTGGCCACGTTATTTTAAGAACTCTTTAATAAAGATCCCTCCCCCACACCCCACCTGCCTCCCACCCCAGAGACTCAGCAGGAACAGGAGTCTCCACTCATGGGCATGGGCATGGGTTGGAGAGGGAAGGGGCATGCTTGTACACATAGGCTTATACAGACAGGTTTATTTAAATGATCAGATCTACATGTTTGGAGGCTGCTTGGGGCATCTTATCAAAAGAAAACCACATTCTAAGCAAGAGGTTAAAAAAAGCATTTCAGACCCAAAGGCCATTTAATACAATACATCCTACCAGGGAGTTTAGCAAACACTTTCTCTTTTTTTTTTTAACCCTACATCCAACAGACTGGTTAGTTAGCATGGACACACAAGATTTGGTTTCAAAGCTGAGATGCCCTTGGTGTCGTGGACTTTCGGATGAAATTCAGTTATTTTACATTATGTCATAAAAAACACGGGGTGCCTCTAGAGATGACAACTTAAATATTAGCTCCATAGGCTGCTTGGTGACATAAATAGGAATGAAACAACAGTGGCCATGGACTAGGAGTGAGAAGACTGTGGCCCCAGTCTATCTCGGGTGGAAAGGGATGTTTACATCGATCCTAGAAGCTAACACAAGGACGAGTCCAACAATCCCCTGGCCCCAACCATCCCCCAAGGAGTATGTCCCAGTACAGGTGGTGGCCTAGCCACCTGCTCCGGCTGTTACGATGTCATCTGTTAACACCAGTCACAGAAATGGGTCATACCAGAGGGTCTGTCATCACACCCCACGCACCAGTGGCTGCAAGTGTCTTCCTCCAAAAGCTGCGGTCAGAAGGCAAACCGACAAATGTCCATGCTGCTGGTCCGACAAACCCAAGCTCAGAGACACGCGGGGCTTGGTTGTGCAGAGTCCCTCTGGTCTGGAGACAGTCCCAGCCAGGTGCTGCAGCCGCCTCCTATTCCTGGGCCTCCTTGCGGCTCAACTTATAGATCTTGGTGGGTCCATCCACGTGAGTGATAGTGGTAGTGAGCTGGAGTTCTTCCCCACTGTGGACACCCAGGTCGCCTGCAACAGGGTTTGTGGTGTTAGAGGTGTGCACGGAAGAAGCAGAAGAAAGCTGGGATTCCGCTCAGTCACAACTGCCCCCCACCCCCGCCCCCACCAGACCATTCTCAGGCCACAGGGGAAACTGGGACTCGCGGCATGTCAGAACACATGCAACATCACAGGCAACATCCCCAACGTCCCCCTTGACCTTGGCAGTCTCTCTGCCATAGGCTGTCTTCCAGGGAGCAGTCACTATCACAGAGGCGTGAGCGCGCTGCTTGATTGATTCCATAGTAATGATGAACTCTTACTCTGTGTCTGCCGCTCCCGTGAATGCCTTAGACACTCCTGCCCTCTGAGGGGCACTACAATCACACTGACGTGTTAGGCGAGCAAGCTGGCTGAGAAGCAGGCCCATGGTAGAGCTGGGAGCGAGAGTGACAAGCATAAGACTCACAGGTCCACTCTGTGGGTTTGGCCAGTGTACCATCCTTGACACCCCCACGCCACGCCACCCCACCCACCTCTGTTAATGAGGAGGGCAGGCAAGAGTTCATCATTACAAAATGTCTGCGTCGTTCACAGGCAAGCAAGACCTACTTAGATTAACAGTAGATTGGGCAAGGCAACATATGTCACACATTTTAGAAAACTTAGGGTTTTTCTCAGTAAGGAAAGGAGGTCAGAATTGGGTCTCTGAACTTGCTGCTTTTATGGATTCTGAGTGGCCCACTCGTGCTCCGTGGACAGAGCTGTTTCGCTGCTAAACCTGAATTTAGTGCCTCTTCTCAATTGGCAAGGCCAGCATCTGCTTCTGAAGGTAAAATCCCTGTGGCTGATTGCCTGCTGTAGAACAAATCCGTGGGTGTGGAACTAGGAATGAGCAACGAGGAGTCCATGCACTCCGTTAGACGGGCTGCGTGGAGGTGGTGCACACCGCACGCGCCGCTGGAGTCGTGGTTACACGTTGGGCTGCTAACCTAGAGGCCGGCAGTTTGGAAACACCAGCAGCTCCACGGGAGAAAGACGAGGCTTTCTACTCCTGTAAAAGAGTTAGTCTTGGAAGTTCACAAGGGGAAGTTCCATCCTGTCCTGAATGGTCGCTCTGAGTCAGAACGACACGATGGTGGTGGGTTTGGTTTAGGGTTTTGGTGCTGGGGAATACTAGCAATAACGCTGTGTCTTATTTTAGTGTGCTGTTCACTTATGATACGATCTATTTTCTGGGACTGCAATTTTTCCTAGTTCAAAGCATGGGATAAAATAAACAAACAGTGTTCCACTGGGATGCCACAGCCTAACGTAGAAGGAAACCTTGGCCCTGCCCTTAGGTCTAACAATCTGCCATTAGCTATAAGAGTTAATAGCAGGGCATCCATGAAGTACCCCCTCACACTGGCCCTGCAGGCTGGATGACCAAGCCCTCCGTCTATGCCACATGGTCATTGGAGACCCTGTTCTCAGTGGCTGTGCAGTAGACTTCTCCTATGAAATGCGGGCTGGCCACTAGAGTCTAGCACAAGAGCTCGCCTGGCCTTGGCAGCAGGTCAGAAGCCAGCCGAGTGGCAGCGAATGGTCCTGGGGGCTGTCTCTGTAAAGGCAAAGCCTCAGGATGGAGGGCAGATGCCGCCAGGCATCAGAATCTCAGCCCTAAGCCCTTCCAGCTTCATTCACTTGGGGCCAGGACATTGCTCAGCGCCTCTCCAAGCCTCACACCTCCTGGCCAAAGCGAATTGTGGATTTGCATATCTGTGGGAGCCCTCCGAATTTCAAAGCCAGCTATTTGATCTGCATGCCTGCGGGATCCATCAGCATTTCAAGGGCAGTCCTGGCCACCCCCAGTGGAGAGATCACCACCTCCAAGCTGTTTCCCTCAGGAATCCCTTTCACTGAAGACTCCTTAGAAAGAGATCCTGGAATGTAAGTCCCTAAAGTGGCATTCCAGTTTGCAATTAGCATGTCTCATGAGCTGAGGAGACTGTGAGTTCTATGAGTTGCGGTCACAGCGATTGATATGACTGTGAGAGAAGATGTGCGTAAGCCCACAGAGGGCCTGAAGACACTGCCTGGCTGCTGGAGGCTCCCTTATGTAAAGGTGCGTACCAGGCTCTGGACACCGTTCTAAAGGCTACATGCTTGTTGTCATCGTACCAGGCCTCTGGCAGACACTATAATGCTCACTCTCCTTCCCTTGATGAAGAACCGGTCAAATAACTTGCCCCAGCTCCAAGCTGGACCACAGCGACTTTGAGATTCCAATCCAAACAGGTAGGCAGCAGAATTCTGGCCTTTAAACTATGCTGCCTCCTCTTCACCATTCACATTTCTATAGCCAACCATGCCACCAACGTGCCTTGTGGCAGCCGGTATGCAATGTGCTACAGTTAAAAACACAGCCATCCAACAACAGGGACGAACTGGTCAGCCGATGAACTTGGCTTGAGAGCCGAGGACAGAGGATTTGCAGGACACAGAAATAGCAGTGCCCCGTGGCAGAGCCCTTGTGACTTGCATAGTGGGTGAAAGGCATTCAGCTGTGAATCAGGAGGCTAGCAGTTTGAAACCACCGGTTGCTCCACAGGGGAAGAAGAGGCTTTCTACTCCCCTAACGAGTTTCAGTCTCAACCCCACAGGGGACGTACTATCCTCTCCTATAGGATTGACAGGAGTCATAAGGTTGACCCGATGGCAGGGAGTTTTGTTCTGTTTTTGGCTGGGCACCTGACATGCCCTCTCTTTATAAGATGGCAGCTGTGCCTTATAGATGAAGATATAGAGATTCAAATAGGCAATCGATTTCTCCATTTACTCCAGACTGAAATGAGGACCCTGACCCACAGGTTCATATTGTATTTTGAAGACCAAATATTTCCCCTTGGGGAATGGAAGTGGATATGGCAGTCATGCAGGTAGACTTAGAAGCCCTCCTTTTGTCTCCAAATTCCACAGACAATCCCTCCATCTGCTGTCCTCGGCATGCTAACAGGCTGTCTTTCCCATCTAAGGCAAAGGAGAACTCCTTTCAAAATTGTGACATGTTTCTTATTGGTAAGGGCAGGAAAAAAAACAAGGGGACAACAGTGACCATCACTGAGCTGAAAAGCTTGTATCCTGGAATCCCCCCCAAGTGATACGAATGGTTGAAGCTCAGCTGCTAACTGAAAGGCTGGAGGCACCTCAGAAGAAATGTCTGGCGATCCACATTCACACAATCAGTCATGGCACACAGGGCCTGCAGAGCCTGAATGTATTCTCAGAGATGGAATGGACTGAAAACCAAGCCCTGGGTCCCTCCAGCTCCTGGCTTCACCTCAGTGACTGAGGGGGCTCTGTGATGCTGGACCCACAGATATACATCTGCTGCCTGATGTGAGCAGCCCCATGCATGCAGGGACCACAGGGGCAGTACTTCAAGGGGACAACCTCTTGAGGCTGGTAGCATTCTCATGGTGATCACTTGTATGTCTGTGGCCACTTTAACAAAAACAAGGGAAGTGGCCATGTTAATCCCAACATCAACTCCAAGAAGTCTTGAGAGAGGCAGGGAGCTTCCAACATTCCTAAAGGCTAACTCCCAACTCCTTCCATCCCCAGCCACCAGGGCCAGTTGCACACTCTCTTTGCATGCACAGTGTCCAAGCTGGCCTCTGGAGGGGCTCAGCTCAAGAAGGCCTTCGGGGACCGAGCTGAGTGGCCCAAGCATCCTCGGTTGACCTTCTCACCTATTTATGTGGCTTACACCAGGGCCAGGGGGAGCCTTATCCAATTTGCTTCTGAAACCCGGATGGGAAGTGAGGCCAGGCACAAGGAGAGGCTTTGAGTGAAAGATCTTCCCAAGCAGGTCATTAAGGGGCCCCTCCCGTGATGAAAATCTTAAAATTCATTGTCAACAAATTGATGCCAACTCCAACGACCTTATAGGATGGGGTAGAACTGTCCTGGTGAGTTCCCGAGACCTGAACTCTTTTAAGGGGGCAGAAAGGGAACGCCTCCTCTTTCTCCTGAGGGGCTGCTGGTGGTTTCCGACTGCTGGCACTGTGGTCAGCCGTGCAACCACTGTGCCACCTGAGCACCTGTTTCCCATGATGAGTTAGTTAATAGTAGTTCGAAGACTCAGAAAAATGATGCTAACAGACCAAGCAAGGAGAGGTGTTCGTGTGCCAGCCCCGGGAGGGGCAGGAGGCCGAAAGGGCCTCACTCCAAACAACATGGAGCTCAACGAGAGCCAGGCATGGCCAGCTCCGCACTACGAGAGCCCCACGTGCAATGTGGCAGCAGACTGTATGTCCTCTGGAAGGCACAGTGGTCTCACATGCCAGCCAGCAACCAAGCCACGGAAGCTCCGGGTCTCTGCCGCTGCTTCCGGTCCCATAAGGTGTGTGCTTCAGGCCGAGGGGCCTGGGGGGCGTGACCAGGCCTCCTGCTGCCTTCATCAGAGTCAGCCAACAGCCAGGCTTCCCTTTCGTGCACTTTCTATTTTCTACAATCTTCTAAGAAGAATTTTATAGGCAAACAAGGCAACACCAAAAGAAGCGACTCTTTTCTAAAGAAGCCGACTCTGAAGGTTATAGGAAGGCCCAGAGCCCCACGCTTCTCTGGCACAAAGGGGGCTGATGGCGCCCCCAAGGGCAGCTCTCATCCCAGCCCGTGTTCTCGGCAGCAGTGGAGGAAGTGTTGCCTGCCAGACCACACTACTACTAACTCTTTGAGAGAAGGGCCGAGTCGTTTCCACCTCCTGCGACTCTGACCGTATCCCACTATCCCAGGGAACACAGTGCTACGTGCTGAGCTGTTCAGAGTTTATTTAGGGGAGTAAGTTATTGTATTCCATCGACACACTAAAACACGGAACTCTATGCAAGAAAGCATGCACACACCCTTCTCTCAACGCTACTGCCTGCGCTGCTGCTCTGTCTGCCATCCCTGGACCCAAAGAAAGGAGGTGCCGGGCTCTGCTTCCACCTCCGCCCAGCTCACGCCCTCCAGACCCTGGTGCCCTGGCTTCTCCTCCCTGCACTCCGACCAAGCAGCCCTCTGCAAAGCCTCTTCCCCCTTTCGGATCCCCAGGAGGCCCCTGCCAGAGCAGCTACCACTTGCCAAGTTCCTGAACCCGGCTGCTGCTGCTTGTTTGTCCCCCAGCAGTCCCTCAGGAGGAATTCCACGGAGACAGTAAGACCCCACACCTGGGATCCATTCTCCAGAGCAAGAGATCAGCATTCTTGGCTCTGGACCTTCCAAGCAAGAGGTGGAAACGCCCAAGTCAACTTAAAAATAAAAACTTTCCATGAGAAAGGAAAACAGAAGCATGAGGAGGCTGGGGGAGGGGAAGGCATGCCATCCAGGGAGAGTTTAAAAATACAGTGTATTTCTCCCACCCCCGCCTAACAGCGAGTGTTCTTTTTTATTTTTATTTTTTTTAAGTTTCCATGTCTTGCAAATTAGCTCCTTTAAGGAATTCCAAAATCTTGGCAAATACTCCAGATTGCCTAGGGTCCATTGCCCGTTCTGGGGCAGATGGAGAGATGGAAAGTAAAGAGAAGGGAGGCTACAGGGTCCCAGAGCCCTGCAAAGAAAGGACACGTCACAACCGGGCCAGGTCCCATGATCCTCGAACTGACAGGTTTGAGGCTTCCATCTTGGTGCCCAGCATGGGGTCCTGAGAGACTCACAATAAGACCAGTTGGTAAAAGGCCTACAGGGGAATCCCGTCTTTCAAGGCTCTGCTTTGCTCCTTGAAGGGGCCTCCTCATCATCCTAAGCACCTGGAGGGTGGTAGGTTCCAGGCGGGGTGTCAATCCAAAGACTCACCGAGATGGCCAAACACCACTTCGCAAAGAGCTGGCAGTGGGAGCTCTGGTAGAGAATTCATTGAGTGCTCTATGAAAGGTCAGGTTATCTTCAACAAAACACACCGATGAGCAAAGGACCACCTGGAGGAGTTGACATCCACGAGGGTTCGTGTTGTACAGCGTGAAAGGTGCTGATGACCGCTGCCGAAGAACCCCTGGCCCCCACGGTGTTATGCAGCCTTCCTGTCTGCCAGCGATGCTGGAGTTTGGGCAATTGTCACTAGGCTCTGAAAGGTACTGCCTCGAGAAAGCCATCCACCCTGGCCCGCCCCCTGATGACAGGACAGGACTGCTCTGCTGCCAGCCCACGCTAGCAAGAAGAAAGAGAACCGGAGATTTCATGGCTCGGGAGGACTGTGAGGGACCACTTGGAGTTGTGAGAGGTGGCCCAGACAGGTGGAATGGTTAGAGTAAATACAAGTAGAAAATTAGATGACTATTCTGTGCTCCAGGACGAGCTGAAAGGGCAGCTCTTTGAGTCTACCTCGAGGTGGCTTGGGAAACGGGCCTGGCAGCCTGCTTCTGAAAGTTCCCAGCCGTGCAAACACTATAGAGCAGGTCCACTCTGGTCACAGAGAGCTGGAACTGACTCTGTGGCAATGGGCAGCAGCAGCAGCCCGGGGTCCATACCCAGTAACTTTCCTCATCAGTATAATCATCCCCACGCTGCAGGAAGTGCGACGGCTGCTCCGTGCACGATTTCTCTGGAAGTCAGGAACTCCCTCTACTTGGGGATCAACCTCAAGTCAAGACAGGTTCGTGTAGCGCCTGCCCACAGTCAACTCACTCGATGCCGCCAAGTCCATTCCAAGTGGCAGCAATCCTCTAGGGAAAGAGTAGTCCTCTCCCTGTGGCCTTCAGAGACTATACTGCTTTACAAGAGGGGAAAGCCTCGTCTTTCTCTGGAGGAAAGCCTGGTGGTTTCGAAATGCTAACCTTGTGGTTAGCAGGCCAACGCGGAACCCACTTCGTCACCAGGGCTCCTCCCCAAATCCAACAGGGGAATGAAATGAAATCAAGAGGCTTCTTCACAAGCCCTGAACTCCTCCTTCCCGCTGGAGCCTGGAGGTCCACTATGGGCTGGCCGTCAGCTCCCACTTTGCACACATAGAGTAAACTGATGGAGGAAAGTCAATCCCTCGCTTACGAACCCTCTAGAGAGTGACAGATAACAGCACGGGCGCAGAAGAAGGTAAGCCAGAAGTCTTTATTCTGGTGTGAACCTGATGGTGAGAAGAAGTCTTTAACCCAAAGGGGTCAAAGATGCCCCGGGAAGAGACACCCCGCATCTGGGGTACTCTCACACAGAGATGGTGAAGATGGGACCAGCAGCATGGTGGTTGGGACCACTGTCCCACCCTGGACCTTCAGCAGACACCCCCTCTTTGCCGCTCTGTCTCCTCCACTCACATCTTCCTCTCTGCCTTGCTGCATCCTCTCCACATCGATGACCCGTTTTTAGAACAGGAAGGCTAATCTGAACTTTTATTTCTAACACATAAGTTCGCTCACCATTTTGAAAGCACCCTTATGCACCAGTCCTTGCCCATGAAAAGCTAATGTGCTGGGAGGAGAGAGAAAGTTTGGGCATATTCGCTTACTGTCAGGGAACTTACGTAGTAAAAGTCATATGAAAAGTGTAACCATGTTCCCCTAGGCCTGATCTCAGCATAGCACACTAGTCCAAAAAAGATATATTACTTGGGAAAAGGGTCCTGAGGTAAAATAACTTCATGACTTTGTGAAATAGTGTTATCTGGACCTATATCTCTCCGTCAAACTTGGAGCATAAATGAATCTACTAAAATCTACTTTAGGCCTTGGTATACCTTGGTGCCTTGAGTAAACGTCATTAATGCTAGTTATCCTAGTGCTTCTCAAGCTTATTTGACGACTGAGACCTACGAATATCCAATGGGAACAACATGCCATTGAGCGTGATCTGCTGGATTCTACCTGGACCATCAAGGAGCGGGTTCCAGGAAGATGGGCAGGGCTTCAACAGGCCCGATGGAAGCAGGACGGCCGATCCCTTCATTCGGATAGCACTTGTTGTGAGCAAGGCTGCTCCTGGGGGACACAGGAGGCACGAGGCACCTGAAGCCCTGGTCTTAGGCCGGAGGCAGAGTGAAGGGCACAGACTGAAGAGCGTGCAGCATCCGTTTTGAGAACCGGGAGTACCTGGCTGCGGTGGACCAGGTATACATCAAGAAGAGAAGGGAGGAGAAAGTTGGAGCAAAACCTTATAAGGCCAAGTCTCCAGAGCAATGGGAAGGGTCGGAGCAGTCCTGACCCAGCCCCCGGGTGGGTCGGCGGATGGTATTTCCCTCTGCCACCGCTCATGGAGAAGCCTGGGCAAGGCCTCCCCTCCTCTGGGTACTCAGCTTCCTCATCTATAAAGTGGCAGGATTGGCTAAGCTCCCCAAGCTCGTTGGCAGCCCCGGTACTTTAGGGTTCTGTAGCCTTGAGATGGGAAAAGACAGCACGCGCCGACACGAAAGAGCAGGAAGGCCATGGGGGCAGGAGAATGAATGACCATTAACTGGAAGGTGTGCCGCCCACCCGCTTGCAGGGAGAAATGAGCAGGCGTCAAAGGAAGACCTTGAACTCGCAGGACTTAGCCACCCTCCACTTGATGTCTCGGGCTCAACTCCAGGAACACGTGAGGCGTAATTTCCAAGAGTTGATTTCGGTTCAAAAATTGAGAGAGGCACCTTTAATTTTATTTGCTCTAAAATTGTGACATAGTTTAGACGAAAGTGTAGCTGTTCCAATGTACTTTAAACATAAAGAGTGCGGGCTGCGAGTGCTCTCGGGTGTGTGTTGGCTTTGGGGTGAGGACTAGAGTCCTCGGGGTGTTTGTTCCTGGTGTCGAGCATTAGAAGCATTCTCTGGGGAGACTGTGACTGGGGAAACCCAGAGCCTTAGCAATTGGCACCTTGCAAAGACAGAGAGCTACTTGTCCCGAATTTAGCTGTGCTAAAGAGCCCAGCACTCACCATTTGACTGGTCATCCCCGTAGTTCTTGTGCGATGGCGCGTAGAGGAACATCAGGGCAAAGACATACAGGTTCCACATCCCATAGATGCCCGTGAAGAAGGCACTGTTCACTTGCACCGTGACACCACCCCATTTCCAGTGGCCCTCAGTCACCTATGGAAAAAGAACAATGGCAGTGACTCAGACCGGAGAAGACAAGTGGTCGCAAGGCAAGACCAAACAGCATCAATACTAGGTTGGTCCCTTTTACCTATAGGAAAAGTGAAAGCGCATGCTGGGCCTCCTACCTTCTCATCTGAGCCATACCAGTAGGAATCCACTTAATCACGGCTTTCTCTGTGTGAAGCACCCGGTGGTACCCAGGCTAGAGAACCTGGCTGCTAACCCACAGGTCAGTGATTCCGATGTAGCAGTTGCTCGGTGGGAGAAAGAGGTGGCAACCTGCTTCCAGAAAGATTGACCGCCTTGGAAACCTTATGGCTTCCTTCTGCTCTGTCCTGAAGGCCACGATGGAATTCTGGCGGGAGTGGTAGTGAGTTTGGTTTTGAGTCTAAACATCAGGCACAACACCAGGGGCTGTCACCTTCGCTGCACAGGAAGATCACTTGGGGAGCTTTGAAAATCCTGGATGCTCTGCCCCATGTCCCCTTCAAGAGACTTTTTGAAGTGTCCTTGTTAATGACCGAGAACAGCCAGGTGGAGGCTGCCCCACCAGCAGCACGATGGGCATGGACTCGTTTGTGCTCCCCACCAGGCTGAAGAAGCCCCCACGATGACCTCTCCTTCCAGAGGAGGAAACCAAGGCAGAGAGGGGACAAGTCCTTCTGGAGCCATGGAAGAGGGCCAACTGAGAAATGCTGCTTCTCAGGAGCGCCTGAGGAGGAGCCAGGGACTGACCAAGTGCTCCCCAAGAGCACTGTGCACCTAAAGAGGTCTGTGCACCTAAACCTGCTCTGAGAAATGTAACGACACTGGGTTTCTGCTAAGGGTCATGGGAGAATTTGGAAATGGACAATGGCCATGGTTGAACAAGGCAGAGACAGCGGAGGTCACTGACGTGTGCATGCAAAGAATGCTCAGATGGCAAGCTATCTATTACACACAGGAGGGGCTCCAAGCGCTATGATCTTTTAATGCTATTATCCAGGCACTGGTGTGAACACCTCTGCATTGACAACAATAATAAATACCAAATAAAGGCATGGGAAAGCGGAACCAGAGGGATGAGGAAAATAAAAGGGGGATAAAGGGAAAGGGCCAGGAGGTTTCCATCTCCGTGCCAGCGTGCCCTACTCCCTCCTTCCATGGACCTCTGCTCACACTTGATCGCCTAAGAGTCTCCTTTATCAAACTACCTCCTTTCCCAAGATCCCATCAACCATAAGCACAAATGCCTCACTACCTAGGGCCATGCTGAGGCTGGCCCTTCCCCAGTTTTATCACGCAGTCAGCCCACATGACAGATTAGTTGATAGTTCTCTGAAGTGACTAACAAGTGGTGACATAAGAAACAAATGCCTTCACCCTAAGTCACAAACGCCTTGAGAATGGGAGCCATGCAGCAATTCACGTGTGCATGCTGACCCAATTCTGAGCAGAGCTGACCCAATTCTGAGCAGAGAGAAACCCAGTTGCACTGAGCAGGCTCTGGCTCACAGCGACCCCATGTGTGTCACAGCAGAACTGGACACCATCCGGTTTGCAGTGGCTGCTTCGGGGGCAGCAGATCACCAGGCCTTTCTTCTGAGGTGCCTCTAGGTTGACCCAAACTAACCACCTTTCTGTTAAGAGCCAAGCAAGTTAACTGCTTGTTCCACTCAAGATGCGGAGAATAAGTGCTCATTAAATACCTGGTGATTCATGCCCAAGCAGGTGCCAGCACGAACTTCCAGAACTATGAGGAGAAAAACTCCTTGGTGGGAAGGAATGGGAGAAAGACTGCTTGTTGTTCTACGTGGAATGACTGCAGTCCAACACCACCATCCCTGCCCTTTTTCAAATAAATGAAGACTACTGTGTTACTCGAATGTTAAAAGATAAAAAACAACATTTCAGCACAGCTTTTGTACTTTAAAAAGTCAAACTACATGCTGTCGCTAGTCGAGTAAACAGACGAGCCTGTTATCTTTGGATGACATAAGACCCACAGATTAAACAACTCCTAGTTTACATTTAGTGAATATAAAGCAAAAATACATTCATCGTGTCTGCTTCTTTGCCCTCCCTCCAGCGTCAGGCATTTTACGTCTCTGCATCGAACGAAGGCTGTGAGCCACCACTTCCCTTGTCACCCTTTGCTGCGGTCACTCTGCAGAGAGCGAGTGGTCTCCGCATCGCCGAGCGCTTCCTGCATACACATGTCTGCTTCCACCCTCCGCTCCCTCATCCGGGGAATTAAACACAGGCTGCGTGCTGATCCGGGAACTTCCACTGGGAGAAGCTCTTTGAGTGGCTTCCTCAGTTCTCCCTCTAGGCTCCAAAATCTGAGAACAGATACTGAAACTAACCCAAAGCCAAACTCACTGCCCCCCAGTCAATGCTGACTCATAGCGACCCTACAGACAGCGTGGAATGGCCCCTGAGGATTTTCAAGGCTGTCAGTATGTATAAGAGCCTCATCTTTCTCCCATGGAAGGCTGGTGGGTTTGAACTGTTGACCTTGTAGTCAGCAGCCCACTGTGAAACCCACTCTGCCACCCGGGCTCCATTAGAACAGGCGAGAGTCTCTTCTTCAAACAGCACGGCTTTGTGTTGGAATCTAACACTTAGTCACAAATACTATCCATTCTCCCATTTTCTTTGCTAGACGGAAACTCCCTGAAGGCCAAGCTAGCCCCGTTTTGTGCACTGCTGTATCTCTGTGAAGAGGTTGACCGACGACATCAACAATAAGCTACAGCGGCTGTTGAGTGGACTGACGGATGGGGTCTTCAAGTGTGCTACAGTGGAGCCGAGCTTAATGTGTTTTTAGTGACTGATTTCTCAGAAAGGATGGCCAAGTCTGTCTTCTGAGGAACCACTGGGTGCCCCGGAACCTCCCACCTTTCAGTCAGCAGCAGAGTACAGTCACGTTTTCACTGCTCCTGGGCTAAAGAGAGAATGAGGGGAGAGGCTGGGGTCTCCCTGCTGTGTGGTGCAGCAGGACGCCTTGCTCACTCAGCCTCTCTTTTGTGGAAGACAAAAATTAAGACCCTCAATTTCAGTTTCATGAACTCGTGAGTGATGATGGGGATACCAAAAACTGACAAAGCCTCCAAGAAGAGTTGTGGGGTGTGTGTGTGTGTGTGTTAGTTAATTGTGCCAGCCTGGCCAATAATCACATGTGGGGCTAATTGAAAGGCGGAGGGATAAATGGGTGGTGAGCCTTGCCTTTCTAGTCGTCGGGTCTCTTGCTTTGTGATGGTTGGAACCGGGTGCAGCTGCCTTAGCAGTTCCCTGCTTCAGCTTGCAAGATTGACTTCCTACAAGACATCCCCAAGGAGAAGCTACATGGACCTGTCCCAATGCAGCCCTGGGTGCTGGAGCACCCGTATGGAGACCCCTGCCAGTGCTGAGATGCTTACACGTTCACTGACTCAGCTTTCCTTTCCTCCTGCAGTCGGCGTCATTGCCTCTGTTTTGTGAGGTGGAGGACTTTGTGGACTGGTGTTGGGTATGGGTTAATGTTGGACTTGTGGGCTTGGCCAGCATTGGGTTGGGATGTTTTCGTGATGCACACTTTCTTTACATAAAACTCTCTCATACATGAGTTGCTGTGGATTTGTTTCTCCAAAGTACCTAGACTAATACAGGGGGGGATATATATTTTTAAGAAATTGCCTGGAACATAGTAAATGTGAAATCACTCTTAATTATCTGCAGAAGATCACTCTAGGTCAGTCACTCATAAGAGTATGAAACTTTCATCGACCTTATAACTGCATGCAATCTGTTTGGAAGCTACATTCAACTGTTATTGCTAGCTCGGGAATTGTTTGAAGGGCTGTGTGATGACACGAATTATGCTGCGGACTGTGAACAACATTGTGGGGATGAGTGACTGACAGTTTGTGCTAGCTCTGTGATCAGGGAGCTGATTGTGACCCTTCTGCTGCCACAGGACATTTACACCAGGAGGAAAAGAGCCCGGCAAATGTCCCCGTGCTGGCTTCAGGAGGCTGTGCCGAGCGAGCCAAGGGCCCCTCTTCCAAGTTGCAAGAAGTCAGATTGGATCTCGATGCTGATGCCTTTAGTCAGTGTGGCTTTTCATGCAGGGGGGCTGGATTCCTTTGGATCTTTGGGACACTCTTTAGCCCGTCACTCACTGGGGCCCACGGAATAATATAGGTGGAAGTACAGCTATTTCTTCTTTAAAGACCAGGTCTTCTTGAAAGTCAGTTAACTGTGTTCACATATAGATCTCTCCATTTTAGTGTGGATTTATTGTTCATTTTTAAAATGTATAAATAAGCTAGCACCATGACATTTTATTTATTTGGGAAAAGAATTATAAAATTATTTTATATGAACTTTCCAGAAACAATTTTTTGGGCCAAGAATTTTGTACCCATCACTGATTGTAGATCAATGCACCAGCATCGAAGCTACTTAGGTCTCCTTAGAAGCGTCTCCAACTAGCACTCATCTTAACTTTAGGTACTGATGCATGGAAACAATTGCCACCAAGTCAATTCTGATGCGTGGTGACCCTATGATTGTCAGAGTCCAAGAGCTCCTGAGGGTTTTCAATGGATGCTTTGGGGTAAGTAGTTAGCCACACCTTTCTTCCAGGGTTCCTCTGGGTGGACTCAACGCTCCAAACTTTCAGCTAACAGACAAGTGCACTAACCATTTGGCAACCCAGGAACTTGGTAAGCTTACTGTAAAAGCACACCCTGGAGCTGTTGCAGAACACCGTTAGTTGCAGAATACTGCACTAGCTACATTCCAATAAAGTGAGTCCTACAAAGCTGTTGGCTTCCTGGTGCATGGACGATCTGTGCTTACACGATACTGAAGAGTGTCACAGTATCTGGGCAAAGTTGGAAACATGATGAGAATTACCAAGAACCGACACAGATAAAAGGTGAGTGCATGCTGTGAGACAATGTCTGGGATAGAGTGGCGAGACTAGGTTGCCAAAGTCTTCCATTGATAAAGGAAAACAGGAAAAA